CAAAAAAAAAATTTTTAAAAAATTAAAAGATAAAAACACAGGGACAGGATCTTTTTTATTAAGCAAAGCAATCGAAATCAGCAAGATGCTGGCCTGTACGGAGATGATCACCATGTGTCTTCAGTCCGCCAAGCACGAACACTTGAGAAAGCAGCAGGAGCTTGACCACAACCAAAACCAAGGCATCTCTCTCGTCCAGGATGTAAGTACACTCTGTTTTTTTGGCGTCCATTAGGTGGTGTTTCTGCGTCAACAATCACCTCCTTGTCATTTATTATTTATGAAATATTTTTAGTTAATTACATGCGTGGTCGTTTCCATATTTAGACGTGTTTTTGCTCACCTCGCGGAGGGTCGTCTTACAAAGCCATATGAGTAAATACACTGCCCTTCATTGTGCTCTTTATGAATGGCTCATATTGAGGTAATGCTTGTCAACCTCCCATTCACCTGCGCTTGATGTGCAGCAGCCCTATTATGTAAGAAAGGTGAGTGCGTGCCCATTAGTGCGTGAATAACAAAAGAGATGCCACAACACAACACCATCTGACAAAGAAATGTATTTTATAATCTGGTTGTTTTCCATTTTCTTTTTCATAGGATAGTGGGGGTCATGACATTGGTTGTGCCCTATGAAACATGCACAGTGTCTATAGAAGATGCTATACATTTTTAATGAGCAGCCTTGCCTTCACACAGCTCTAAACAGAGACATAAAACTAGAAAGATGTTGAATTGTTAATGATTTAATCAGGATGCTGCTTGCACATTCGTATGATTCACAAGCAAGGAAATGTTCTCTCACTCAGCCGCCAGCCTCTTCCTCTTTTTGCAGTGTTATATTTTAAATCCCCGCTTTATGTTGGGATGCCTTTATGGCCCCTTCTTTGCCTCTGGTTTACAGACAGCAGATAATACAAGCAGCGTCATTTCCCAGCCTTGGACTTCCTGACAGCTGGCTGTAAATAAAATTCTCCAGTTTCCCCAAGGCAGATTATTGGCCAGCGATGGGAACATTAGACTGCAGCAAGTACGCATTTTGTTCAAATGCAGTTAGCATCCATTCTCTCTCTCTCTCTCTGCATGACCTCCACACTGGCTTTTCTTCACTGAGCCTATTACGATGGCTTAATGGGTGGTCATTTATTCTTTAATAGCTGCATGAATCAAGAGTGTAATCACTGCAAGGCTCCTTATCCAACGAACCTGCACTGATTCTTTTCTCTTTTATTCCTCTGACTTCCTAACAACTAAATCACGCTTATGCACACGCTCATGTTTGCGGTATTTTATTGAAAATTGAGTGTCATTTGTGCTTTTCTTCCTCTTCCATTTAGACTTGAGGGAGCTTTTTGTGTTCTTTTTTGTCTGCGTCTCTCTAAAAGAGGCTGTCTATTTATATAATTAGACAAGCTGAAGGACTCTGTTTGATTTAAAAGGCTCACGCTTGTGTGGAGGCTGTTAGCTTGTACATCCCTGAGAAGTGTTTGGCTGCTCTTGAGATAACAATTTGCTTCAGAGGCTGATGGGAAGCAGTTCGTGCATAGGCGGGATGCTGTAGAGTGAGTGTCAGTCACTCTTCCTGTTTTAGTTTTATTGTGTTCAGTAGGATCTGTGTGAGCCCCAGGGACTGGCTGAGATAGACATTACAACTGAGCAGCATGCATGCAGCTAATTCTGCTGTTAGAAGGTCTTCATTGGCTCTGTGGGATGACAACAACAACTCCACCGACCTCCCACTTACCAGCACAAAGGAGGAATAAAGGCCGGTAAATCTTTGTTTTCTCCAGAGCCAATGTTTATCGCTCTCAATTTGTTTCCCAGATTTTATGGAGCAGCTCCCTGTTGGCTTCCTCTGAGGTGTGCAGACAGGATGCTTACATCAGCACTTCTACAATTTAGAGAGATTTGACAATGATGGCTCAGACTCCGGGTTTCATGCCATCACCCGCATCCAAAAGTCAGTCCAGACTCAGGGACGTTAAAGGGCCGTACTAGTTGTTCTGCATGATTTAGTCCATTTACTACAAATCCTTTATGACAACTGACCTTTGTCTGAGATTTGGACCTGACCAATACATCATTCAGGTTGACATTTCGGCTGATTTTAGATATTCAAATCGGTTTTAGTGCAGAAATTGAAAATTCTGTATTATACAGGTGTTTTTGGTTGAGTGTGTTTACATAAATAACGACTTTTTAAAGCTTTCCTGTAGCTTACTTTACATTGACAGATACATATTAATTATTAATTTAGTAATTGGTGACTGGTTGTTTTATGGAGTCCCGAAACTGACAAAAGGCATTAAAAGATTATCATGATTGATAGTGATTTTTGATCATTTGATTTATGTTTTTGCTTTTGTTTTTGTTTGAGTTTATCGTTATATATTATACTAATTTAATCTACAGTTAGGTTTAACTTTTATGATTTTCTGTTTTTTGTTTGTTTTATGTTTTTGACAAGTTTAGTTTTTAACTGTAAAGTGTCCCACTCAGTACATACTATTTTGGTCACAACCCTTTAATAAATAATGCAAGGGACCGTTAGCAAAAATGTTTGTTACTTTGATCGATTAAACAACATAATCAAGCTTCAGGAGTCACCTAAATAATTTTTTATAACATACAGGAATTAGTGGAAACCTTTGGTAGTCTGGAATTGTGGGAAATATTATTGATTTGCAAACACACTCTGAATAGACCTTTACACAGCAGCCATTTTGAGGTAAAATAGTAGGGTAATAAGAGGTGTTATGCTACTAATTAAGATTCTGTCAGTGTGCTGCATGTTGTGCATGTTGCCTCAAGGCTCCGCTACACTAAATGGAAGAGTGTCTTGATTAGTATCATTGGTAACACCTGTGTTTACCCTACTATTTCATGTCAAATTGGCTGCTGTGAAAATGCTCTATTGGACCACAGAGGCTGAATGTTTTCCAGGTTCCTGAGATATTCAGTGCAATCTTTCTATTTCTGTTACATATATTCAGTATCATTTTTTTCTTTTATGGATTTTTCTGTGAGTCTCGATAGATGTGTCTTGAATAGAGGAGAGATGTTCTTAAAAAAAAACGGATGAGAGCAGAGCGCGTCCAGGCCTTCACACTCCAATATGCTCCAAAAGGTGACAGCTGGATGTGAGAGCACCGCCCCAGTCTGATGATACAGTTAATCAACCAGCCGCTCGGACACTACTGTCCACATGGGGTGATGGAGCAGGAAAAAAAAGCTGCTGCTGTGATCTCAAGCACAAGAACTCACACTCCACCCAGAGATCTGACTTCTCACAGGTTCGGTGTTACACAGTGATGAAGTTGAAGATATTAATGATTACCGTGTTCGCAGCATAAATTTATGAACACAAAGGGCCGTCACTTCCTGCTTGCAGGCTTTGCACAAAACTGGGGGAAAGATCTTAAGGGGGCATGATCAATGCCTGAAGAAGGGGAAAAAAACATAAAAGCCGTCGTTCCAAAGCTCCTCATGGGTGCATATAAATGTCAGCGTTTCATTTCCTGAGATGTCTCAAGTCTCTTTTGTTATTGAAATGCGGAAATTACAGCCCCTTTTAAATGTTCTCCTGTGCAGAAGAAAGAGGAATATGCCAAAGAAACTCGTCTTATACTGATGGATTGCCTCACATTTGTAGAGATTCACCGGCTAACAGCGCTGCTTCTTCAATAGGCACAAATCTTTGAATTTGTGTTCCATTTCATTTCAGATTATTAAAATAAATTGTTACTGCATGAAGATACTGTTCGACCTTTAAATTGCCCAAAACTTGAAATATTGTTGATGTATGTTTTGTACCCAAACCTAAAAACTTTAACACGACCTTCTCCTCTTATTGCAGATATTCCGCCGGGCAGACAAAAATGGTGAGTAAGCAAAATATGCAGCTAATTAGATTATACGGCTAATTAAAACTCAATTAAAATCTCTTCGAAGGAGAGAAAATGGGGAAAAAAATGGGATGTGACCGGTGAAAAAAAAGGCACAACTTTGATGGCTCTGTTCAGACAGGTGGCCTGTTTGGGCTCTGAGGGGATTTATGTGACCCTGGTGGAACTTATCTTTCCGCTTTATTGCCATCCTTGAGAGATCCCAGTCGAAAGGATATAAATAACCAAGGTCAGGTGCAGCTGCATCTTCTTGGTTTTTCGATGTGATTGAATTTGACAGGATGAACTCCTTCAGATGCAGCCACTCACTAATGCAGTGCTTATCTCAATGATATCCAGTGATACTTATGCTCAGTGCGCCTGCAACATGTATACTCACATTTTCAGTAAAGGTAATCTAGCTATACAGTGAATATGGCTTCAGCTGTTTTTTCTCAGTAGAAAATAACATTTTAACTCCAAATGTTACAAAGTCACTGGAGACTTGCACCTAATGTGGATTTAACGTACTCCCCCTGCAAGCATGTCACTGTTACATTTGATTAATGTGTTACAATGTTACATTTAAATCACATCTTTACTTCAAAGGAAATCCTCCCCCTAAATATCTCCTGGGAAAACTCAGAGCATTCAGCTGTGCATGAAAAACAGTGCTGACAAACAGGGAAATGTTTTTGCTCTTAAATCTTTTATTCATGCACTGGATCTCCATGTAATGGAATGTAAAATGCAAAAAGGGGCAAGTGATTAATGCGTGTAAAGTATCTACAAACTCTGATCAGTTTTTCTCAGGAGGACGGTGGATGTGTTATATAAGATCAGGTTTAATGATGCAACATGTGCTGCTATAGGCTGGGGTTGTCTGGGGTGTCTCACAGCCTGATATTTTGATAAAAGAAAATCTTAAGTTTGTGAATTATGAAAGAGCCCTTAAAATATTCTTTTTCTTTGTGGCTTTGGTGAAGAAACTGTAGAAGACAGAAAAAGAAAGGGGTGGGTGGATTTTTTTCTAAGTTGTGTCTCGTCTCAGGTGATTACTTTGTGAATTAGTGGTTAAAAAACACAACCGAGGTGTGACATTTTAATAGAAATAGATGTTGACTCTATTTCAATAAGTCGATTGTTTATGTTACACGCAGTTTTGTGAAGCCTCAAGTTGGCTCCTTGTGTTCTTTCTTTCCTCTCGCCTCCCTGCAGCACTCACACAAAGCTTTTATTTTCCACTCTCTGTAGAAAAAAGGAAGAGAAAGTGAGGGGATAGAGTTCTGTCTCGTGTTTGCGGTAGTTATCTTCAATTTGCAGCCGAGCTCTGCTTTGGTTCTTGTCTTCACAAACTCACTGAGTCGTGCACCCGAGAGGAAAGCGCCTCCTACCAATCAGCACTGAGTGGGCTGCCATGATACGCCTCGAGCACTGCGGATTTACCACATAATGAGGGCTGGCTACCAACCCACTACACTCTATTCCTCCACGCTATTGTAATGAAGAATTTAATTTTTTAAAAGCAAAAAACAATTGTGTCAGTACATATATATATATATATATGTATATATATATATATATATATATATACTGAAAGCCT